ACTAATTTTCTCATTTTTCGTCCTTAGCAGCCACCCGTTACACTCACCTTACCCCTTGTTGAAATCAAATTAATTTTTCTATGATTTGATAGTATTTATTGTCGATAGTTGAATAGTTACATATTTAATTTTGGACGGATCATATACATCATTGTTATTTGTATATAGCTCGTTATAATGACATTGAATACTAGAGTACAAAACTTATAAATCATCAAATATTTGAAAGTATAGCCATTCTCGTTTAAAACCGTCTTACTTGTCATACCCCATTAACTATTATACCTAATTAATCATTTCAACGCCCATCGAGGAGGCGAGAGAGTCAGTATAGCAGCAGTACGTACCTTTACCACCCTCGATGCGGACTAAAAGAGAGTTGTTGATCCTCGCGGGAACAGGATCGACGTACAGAGAAGTAATCGCAGCCGTGAAGGGGGTGCCGTCTTCATCTGCAAATGCAATGCAATCATCATCCAATATATAATATTACGTTATATACCAAACCCAGATCCATTATTCACCGTGAGCACTACATGAGTTGATATCATATACTTGGTAGCCAACCATAATCTGCTCATGCATGCATACATATATTAATTACATTTAAATATTGTTGTTTCACTATTTTCCAACTAAACATGTTTTCGGTTTCGGTTTTCACATACGAAAACAGAAGCCGAAAATGATATTAAAAAGGACATAAACCTTCTAATCACATAATCATAGATATAGTACTATATATAGCGAACTTCGATGAATAAAATACGCGAGGGGGAAAATTCGGAGGGAGGGAGGGGATACCAGTATTAGTACAGTTCCAGAAGGAGAGGGACTCCCGATCATCAGCCTTCCTCGTCTTCTTTGCCGCCAATGAGGGTGCGGTGAGAGCAGAGATGGCGGCGAAGAGGACGAGGAAGGAGATCCCGGCAGTAGTAGCTGTCATTTTTAGTTAGGAAGCTGACAGCTTTTTTTTTTGTTTGAGAAATGACTGCAATGGTGTGCTTTTTTTCTCGAAAGCGTCCTGGTCCTATATATAGGGAGAGTAATATATGTGACTTAAAGTCACCACTCATAATTATAATGCAAATTTCTTTATTCTGCGAATTTTTATAATGCAAATTGTTTGATGGGATTCTTGAGGGAAGGGGAAGTGAAATGTACTATAACTTGGTTTTGAATTACTAAAAAGAAGGTCAACGATATGCCTCCCTTTATATATTTTAAACGGGAGGCTTTGTAACGCCGTAAAGGGAAGAGAAGGAATTCCCGTAACCCACTCCACAAGACTTGGTTTTGCGGGCACCGGATAGTAGAGGTGGCATGTGGGTTAAAGGATAGAAGAAGAGAAAAGGAAGGGAAGGAGAGTCATAAAGGAAGAGAAAAATTGTTTAAGGTTTTTTTGATTGAGCGCTTTCACATTAATTAGCCAATGACTTTCTTTAGTTGCCAAGTTAAGAAATAGATGGACGTATAATGTGAGAATTTATTGCAATTGAATATAATATTATTATTATCATCAAAATATAATATAATGAATATAATTTAATGTAGATCATAATTAATAGAATTTTTTAGAATTTTTCTAAATTTAGAGTAAGAACGAAAAGATAATTAAATAAGTGAAAATGAAAAGAGGTAGGATTAGACTGGTCAAAAGCCTCCCCTCTTTCTTTCAAATTTTGTGTCAGTAAGAAAAAAAACATAAGGGTGTGGATTTAACAGTACGCCCTTCTTATTTGTTATGAATTGTGAACCATTAGATTGGAATTTATTGGAAGGCTCCAAAATTATGATTGTGTGGAGTTTCTGTTTTCATAAAAATAGAGCTTCACCGATAATTTAGAACAGGGTATTTTTAGAAACGTTTTAAATATATTTTATATAGATACACCATCACCCAAACAAAGTCTCGGGTACCTCAATTAGAAATATTGTGTGGATTTATTGTCCTTCCGTAGTTCCGTTTGTGTAAGTGGGTCATGCAGATATCTTCACTTTTAAAAAATAAGCATGCTAATTTGCATAGTAGTAATGATTATTGTTGTTTTTTCCCCACCAATCGGCAGGAAAAAATCTCAAAGTACACATATTTTTAAAAAAAATTCTCAAAATACATAAGTTATAAAAAAATTTCCAAAACTACACATGTTTGGTTTTCACCGTTTTTGACAAACGCAGTGAAGGCTATCACCGCGTTTTAAATTAAAACGGTGAAGTATTCACCGTTTTTCTCTAAAACGGTGAACCAATCACCGCCTTAAATTAAAACGGTGAAGATATCACCGTTTTAGGGCAAAATGGTGAATACCTTCACCGTTCTAGGTTAAAACGGTGAGTATTATTAGGCACGTTTTCAACCCCTGTTAGGTGAAAATTAGGTATGAGCTACCTAATGTTCACTGTTTGAGACAAACGCGGTGATGGTGTTCACCGTGTTTGACAAAAACGGTGAACATTAGGCAGATTTTCCTATACATACCAGCCCACCAGCAATTATAAAAACAAAACCACTCCCCCCTCTTCAAATTTCAGCAACCAAAACCGAGCATAATACACAGGCGGGGAATTTTCGGTATGATTTATTTTTCATATTATAGGTTAACGATGGGTTTTTAGTAGTTATAGTATGATTTAATTTTCGTATTATAGCGTAATGATGTTTTTAGTAGTTATATTGTCATGTTATTATGAATTACTTATCGTAGCAATTATAGTACTTAATTTTTGAATTTATGCTGTTGTTAGTTAGTTGAATTTATGTTACGTTAGTTATGAGATGGAGTAATATTAGTCGTACAATATGGTTTTGGTTAATTTTACTGTCTTTAAACTAATAGTTTAACTTAGTGTAAATTGTAGATATGGGTAAATTCAAGAAGTTTCGGTTTATTATTCGGTGGAATGGAAGGGTGACAAACTCTGACATTGGGATTGATTATGAGAACGGTGAATCCACTATGCTGAAAATTGAGTCGCGATTCAATTTTCAAGAACTCCGTGATATTTGTGCAGACATGGTTTGTACGAGCGGACAGACGAGACTTGGCAAAATTAGTTACCGGTATCCAGACATGAGTGCTGGCGGGGTTGTGTACCAAGAAGTTGTCATAAACGATGATGACGTGGTTAAGATGATGTTGGAGTTCCTAAGCGATAACGAGATGCGGCTTGCAAAGGTGTATGTTGAGACCGAGGCGGTCGGTGAAACTCATTCTCACCAATATTCTTATGATGATGGTTTTGCAGGAGGGTACGGATGGGGTGGTAGTTCGAGCAACTATGAAGGAGGTGGTTATACATGAGGTTATGGAGAGGGTGGTAGTTCAATCAACTACGGTGGAGGTAGTAGTGCAGGATGGGTGCCGTCGGAAGAATACTCGCAACAGGATCAACCTGCCGATGGAGTTCAATGGCCTGCTTGGGGGCCTGAGTGGGCTGAAATCGAGCGGCCCCCAACCTCCTTCGGGTTTGGTAGTGGGCCCAATGATGGCATCTCCAGTAATCGGCAGCCCGGTGAGGATCACCACGTCTTTGAGGGTGATCGTCATTTCCCCCTCCGGAAGGTGGAACGTATGGGTTTCGGGACGCCATCGCTCCGCCATTGCCGTAAGCAGATCGTTATCGATTTCGATCCGCATGAAATGGCGCAACATACCCAACCCGGTCCTCTCTATATAGGGCGCCAACCGTGGATGCCAAGGGGGCAAGTTTGTGGTCCCTTTATGAACGACGGGAATAAGTGATTCTTCCAAAAAAAAATAGGAAAAACATCAATTTGTTAGTTTAAATAAATCAAAATAAAACCTTAGAAAATAATAAAATAAAGCAAATAAATCATAAAATTACCGGATTGTTATCCCAAATAGCACGGGAGCGATGAGCTTCTTGATCGGTTAAGAGTCTCATATCTCTTGGCCTATAATGGATATACAATCGAGGATCGTGTATCTCGGCACCCATCTATGAAAAAAGTAATGAAATAAGAGATTGTTTTGATAAAAAAATCACAAAATCAAATTGTTATGATTAAAAATAAGAACACAAAAAAAAACCCTACACGAAGAGCCTCTTCGTCCATTTTTTGGCAGAAGCTGGACAGAGGTTCGACGGGTTCAGATTTGTAAGGGACGGGAATTTAGCGGGACGAGGGCTTTAGGGTCAAACTCTAGTAATTCTTTCTGATGTGGAAGATCGGATTTATCCGCAACCACAGAGCATACTTAGAACGAGACTAGAGCGGATAAATTAAGGGAGAAAGAAGAATAAGTTGAGGTGTGATTTGTAGGGGGGGGGGGGGGAGGGTCTATTTATAGTGTTTGGAAGGGGGGAAGGGATCTGGCGAATTTAATTTCTGGCCGCCTTCACCGCGTTTGTGGAACGCAGTGAATACACCGCGGAAGTCAAAGGCGATGATGGGGGCAACGTGGACCAGCTGTGAGGCGTCTGATTTGGGAAGAAAACCACGATCCGCGCCTCACCGCATCTGATGGCCACAGTGAAAGGAAATGCGACGCGGATCGCTGACGCAAACAAACACGGGGTATTCACCGCGTTTGTCTAACGCGGTGAATACCCCGCGTTTGTCCACGTCAGCGATCCGCGTCGCTTGATCGTGGCCAACTACAGCGGGGAAGTATTCACCGCTTTTAATTAAAACGGTGAATGCTTCACCGTTTTAATTTAAAACGGTGAAATATTCACCGTTTTTGACAAACGCGGTGATAGCCTTCATTGCGTTTGTCAAAAACGTTGAATGCCAAACATGTGTAGTTTTGGAAATTTTTTTATAACTTATGTATTTTGGGAATTTTTTTTTAAGAACTAGTGTACTTTGGAATTTTTTCCCCAATCGGCATTACCTAAAAGCGCTTTACTTACTTATCTAGTGATAGTCAAGTCAACTATATTACTCTCTACTATAAAGTGTATGTCTACACTTTCTAGTATGTAATCGGGTCATATTCTCCATCGCGTTCGTAGGCTTGGCAATTGAACCATCGACGAGACAATATTTATTCTTGACGATGAGTGCATCCTTCATGTCCACGACCCACTCGCCATAGTTAGATGCTGCGCCGTGAGGACATCTCCAACTAACAAATTTTCCACGGCCATCAGACATCGACAACTGATCGAAAAGAAGAAAGCGATTCCCTCATCAACCTTAACTAAAGCAGCGCCAGACGGTGTGCCTTTGAGATCTTCACCGTTGAGACTCATGTGGGGCACGCGGTGAACGAGGTGTTGGGGCTTAGCGCCGCACAGCTCTGATACCATGATCAATCGAACAATATATAACAAGAGACGAGATTTTACGATTGCCCTTGTTCTTTAACCGTTGCGATTAACCAAACTTTTGATTGTCACCATGAAACGAATAAAAGGAACAAGTGGGAAAGGACAAATGAAAGAAAACCGGACCTACTTTACTACATGGGAGTTAATTCATGAGCTGCGGAAATGTTCTTGAACATCTCGTAAATGATCCTGTTCTGGAACTCCTCGTCGGTACAAGACATCCGGACCTGCCGCGCCTTGGGAATCCTCCTGTTCCCAAACACCATGTGGGTATTCAAGAACCCCACGCTCCCCGCCAGCCTCACCATCATGTCCATGTACCTGTTCCTCAGCTTCGCCGCCGCCACTCTCAGCCGCAGCTTCGGCACCACCTTGATCCTCCACACCAACTTATTACCTCCACTACCGTTGTTTTTGTTGTTGTTGTCGCCGAGCCTGGCGATGCGGATGTTCTTGTTTCTGCCGACGGCGCCGTCTTGTAGCTTTTGGTATCTCTTTCGTCTCCAGTATCTGTCCCCCGTGCTGTGGAATTTGGTGCCGAAGATCTCCATTTCTTGGTGCTTTAGAGAGAGAGAGAGAGAGAGAGGGTGAAAAGGGTGAAAAGGTTGGAGTAGTACAAGTTTGTGAGTAGTGTAACGTGTATTTATCTAGCTTGTGAAAGCAGGAAGTTTGCGGCAAAGTTTGTGGAGTGGAGTCAACATGGGCAGGCGCGGCTCAGCATTGGTGACTGTGAATTATTATATAATCGAGATCTGTTATCAGAGAGTATCTCTTGTCATTCTTGCGTCGTGAGGAGAATTAATACTTTTATCATTGTCTTCATATTTGTTGTTTCGTGAGGATATTATATATCCTCTGTTTTTTTCTTCTTCTTAGTCCAATGGGGCATCTCGTGCTACAGAGAGTACTGTATGGCATTAGTTATATATTTGATTATTTGTGTAACTCTTTCGGTTGGGATACATGAATCAACCAAATTCCTAGTTTGTTATTTTCGACAATAGTCTAGGTAGAAAGTAGCCATAGTCCATCTCGTTGTGTTTCAAGTCCGTAACTTAAAGATGAGCTGGTTTTTTAATGTGATACTAGAGCCTTTATTAGGTGAAAAGTCTCAAGCGTTGAATACATTGGCAACATCAATAACTTTTTTTTTAACAAAAAATAGTCATATATATTGATAAGATCAAAAGTTACACCCTGGATCCAACCTAGACACGAAAATCATACAATAACGGTGGTTGTTTATTGAAATGAAATGATTATTAATAGGAATGGCAATGGGGCAGGTTCGGGGCGGGTTTCTTGGTACCCAGACCCGCCCCGTGGCAGGTCGGGTCCAAGTCGGGCAATTGATCACGGGTCGCAGGTCGGGGCAGGTTGACCCAATGTATATGCAATTTATATGAAAAACATTAGAAATATTCGTTATTTTTATTATAAGACTAAGAAAACAAACAATATTATGACAATTGTAATTAAATTATTGGAGAAATTGAGGTTTTTACTAATTTATAATTTTATTATAGCTAAAATATGATGCAATAAAAGGAAAATTCTAAGTAATTTGACTAAGATTACATGTAATTTAGACAAGAACGGGTCAAGAATGGGACGGGTCATGGCAAATCGGGTCGATGAGACTACCCATGCCCGCTTCGCCCCACCTATGGTGTGGGTCGGACCCGTCCCAAAACAGGTTAAACAGATCAAGTAAAACGAGTCGGGTCAAAAGTGCCATCCCTGAATATTGAGAAACTTTACCTCCTAGTTGGATTGCGTTCAAACAAAAGAACTATTATTCACTCTTTTCATCTTGCTAATAGCTCGATAGAACTCATCAAGTCAATGCCTAAACCTTTTTTAGTTTTACACTTGAGTTGTGGAGGAAACCCGAATAATGGGTCTTGAGGCACCAGCTGTATGGGAATGGGATGCGTCCATTTATGTCAAACTGGACAATTATTCAAGGCGCAATTTTATCGCCATGCACATGTTCAACACGAATTTTCTGCTCTAATATTTTATTCAACCTTTCACACGCCACCTAGCTGATTCGGCCGGGTATTGCTGCATGTTCCACAAGCATTATGTATGGTGATCCAGAAAATATAAAATTCCGATTTGTCAATGAAGATCATGTACCTTACCCTTTCATCTAGAAGGCGACTTCTTTCATTGATTATGTGGATAATTAACAAAAAAAAGTGATAAAACTTTGAAATTTATAAAAATGATCACTAAATTGTAATTTTGGTAATACATATTGAATGTATAATGAGCCAAATAGTAATTTCTGTTCATTTTTATCTACAATTTTGTCAAACTCGTCAAATCAGCGGTCCACGTCAGCTATAATATTGAAAACAAAATCCACCTCACTATCCAAACTAGTGGTGGAAGAAGACGAATCTACTAAGTTCAAAAAATTTCTCTCTCTCATAATTCTTCTCCCTTCTTTCTAGGGTTCTAAAAAATCTCTTTGGGGGTTGTGTCGCCATCCTTTGATGACCTGCGATTAGGGGTGGGCAACGGAAAACGGGTATTTGGGTATACCCATTTCCGTCCCGTTTTTTAAGGGTTACGGGTACCCATATTACCCGTAATTTTATTAACGGATGGGACTTGGGATTGTACATTCCTATTTTGGGTACCCGAGGGTTACCCGCAAATACCCGTTTGGGTAATATGGGTACCCGTTATACCCATTCAATTTAACAAAAACATAATTATTATTCATTTATACCCTTTCAATTAATCAATTCCTCTGAGGCATTTGACCATTTCGGCGACCCTTTCCCCTGTCAAGATAGTCATTAGCCTGCCCTTAACCCTTTTGGTGATTTGCTTAAGTCTTCTTCCCTTTGCAAACAACAACACAACAGCAGCTTGCAGAAGGCAGAATGCCAGAATCGCAGCAGCTTGGCACTTGCAGAAGGCGACCAACAGCTTGTAGAAGCCAGAGCAGCAACAACTTGCAGGAGCAGATCAGTAGCAGCATGTCTCCCATTTGGTTGTGTTGAATGGATCTTCTTATTTGATAATTTGGTGGTTGGAATGATTTATTTCTATGGGCTGTGGTTGCTCGTAAATGTTTAATTTTCAAACCGAGTATTTGTGATTGGGATGGATTTTGTGATTGTTAAGCAAGTACAAGTTAAGTTTAAAGTTTTGTTAAAATTTTAGTGATTTAAACTTTAGGTATTTATTGGTAGTATGGGTACCCGTTATCCGTCCCGTATGAAAAATGGGTACCCGTTTCTCATATGGGTTTGGGACACGGGATGGACTTTAGTCTTCAAACGGGATTGGATACCCATTTCAAACGGGACGGGTATCCCGTCCCGTCCCGTTGCCCACCCCTACCTGCGATGGCCTGAAATCTCTCACTCTGCCTTTCTCTTCCTATTCTTTTCTCTCTTCCTTTGCTTTTTCTTTTATTTTTCATATGCTTTTGTAACCCTTATTGGCATTCTCCAGTAGTAGGTGGCATTTTCATATTTTCCCCTAAGTGGATCGATCCACAAATCTCTCAAGATGAGATGGTTCGTACTCGTTCTAGTCTGATCTCTTCATATATCCGACAACTCTTATGGGTATGAATAGTGCAACTTTGAAGATATATGAAGCCGTCAATGTTATGGTGGCGTGGTTTACTTCAAGGTGGTTTGTTTCATTAATCGTTTATTTTATCAATGATTACATTCTCTATCATCGTCCCTTGGGTACGTCGTTGGTGGAAGTCAAAGTCTTTTCCGGCAGCTACAGTGGCTCTCCTTGTGCTTTGGAGGTTAGGGTTGAGGGATGTTTGGTTTTGGTGATTGTAGTGGACTCGTTTTTTGTTTGTTTGGGGCGTTTGGCAGGTTCGTTCGGGTGGGCTTTATTGGTGCCTTAGTATTATTTTGTGGAATGTGTCTTTTTTGTTTTGATTAGTTTGTTGGATTTCTCAGGTGCGCCTCCGTTGGTGGATTTCTTGGGGTGTTGCTCATTGATTTTTGGGGTCTATCTTGAGTTAGGCTTGCAAGTGGTTTTTTTCGGTTGTTTTTTTTTGTTGGGTTTTGTGGTGGGATTGCCTCCAACTCCTGGGTTTCCCTCTCCTCTCTAGACTGGGTTTGTCGTCTTCCATTTTCCTTGGATTATGCTAGCTCTATGATGTCTTCAGTTTTATCCACTTTCACCACCATGTAATCTCATATTAAGATTCAATGTGATGAGTCATCTTCGAATGACTTCCAAGAGGCGGTATCCAATTCCTTCTATCCTTGCTCTTATAGAATCCGCTGCACTATTGGGCTCACTTGAATCTGGTTAAGAAGACTAGCTTTCTCTACTGACGAAGGCATAGTCTTCAAAATATTACAGCGTAGTAGGAAGAGATGGTGTTATCCTATATATAAGAAGAGGATTGATAAGATCAGCATATATAGTTGGATCTGTCTTTCTATTCATTTATAACCCCCACCATTTCCCAAGTTATTTTGTTATATTGGGGAGTCGTTCCGATTTAATGGCGTACCACAATCCGTTGTTTTATGATCCTTAGTTGAAGCGGAGGTCTTCTCAGTCTTTATCTTCCTCTCCAACTCACTTGAGTATTGCATAACCTCTCCAACTAGTCGAGCTACCACCACAAAGTATAAAAGCCTCCTATGGAGATTGTGCTACTGGAAGCAGGGATTTGTTTTCTCATGATATCAAATTCTTATGCCAATTATACTCGATTTCCTCAAAAGAAGTGAATTGACTTTCATTTGGTTAGAAGTCTACCATACTGTATCGAAAAGAATGCATTTTCATCCGTACATTGAGAAAGAGGTCAATCATCTCCTTTTCAGTTGAAGGCAAAGCCACATGAACTGCCAAAGTCCTCCACCTTTGGGCATACCCTCGTTCAGTTCCCGTTTCTCTTCATCTCCATACTCTCAAGTTGACACCTGATGGCCCCATGTCCTGGTTAGACTTGTATTCTTTCATGAAGGATTTTGGCAAGTCCTTCCACTTCTTCAAATTCGAGTGGTCCAAGGAGGTGTATCATCGCAACGCAGGCCCAGTTAAGATATTCTAGAAGCTAAACACCGGGTACTAGTAAGGTAAATAGCTAATCCAGCGAGTAAATCCTATCATCCTTTTTAGCAAACCAATCAGTAATCATATCTATCATCACCTTATCCTATCCAGGCTTGTTTGTAAGCCTTCCCTCGTTGAGGAACATTCATATACGTGAAGATACAAGATCTGTTCATACCAAATCACTCAATAGATGAACCTCCTTAGAATGACACCTTTCGATGCATGTGTAGAATTCCTTACGTTAAATCATATAAATAAGGAAGATAATCTTCTTCCCCAAGGATGGCAGCCAATTAGCCAAGATTTTGACCGTTCACCATTCGAATGAAGAGTACCTGGGAATCACCATAAAATAGAAATTCAGTGACTGAATGAGACAAACACCATTGGATGACATCTCTAAGTGCCATGAGATGGATGAGAAAGGGATCATAAATATTGGATAAAATAGGCCAACCGCAAATTGAATAGATCGATGCCTGAAATTTCCTGCAAAGCCAATGGAAACCACATTGAAACCTTCAGCACACCATCAAAGTGTACCAATATTGATTGGACAGAGATGAGATAAGGAATCAAGGTATGGGAGGCCGAATGGGCAGTTGGGGCACTATAAGGACGAGCTGTCAAAGAAGAAGATGTATGTGCTATTGTCCATTTCATCACATGGGAAACAAACTATCATACTAGCTCATGGCGAAGGAACTGAACCTCTTCATAAACAATCGAACATCGCTCCTTTCAAATCTTCCAATACAAGAACACTAGTCTTGCCACGATAAACTGTCAAAGGCTAGCATGTCCTCGACAATAGTTTTGAAGGCTCACCTTCTTCTCATAAGCAAGGTGATGTTTGATTGGATAACAATCAAAATGTATCCATAGTGAGGCAACCAATCTCGCCCACATCAAGTTGCGATTAGATAAAATACATGTGATCGTCCATTTGATGCATCAAATCATAAAATTCACAAATGATCCACATGGCTGATGTATTGTTCTGCATAGATGTCACAAAATCTCAAGAGATTTGCCAACTCATTACAAGCGATGATCATTTTTTCTATTCTCCTTGAGAACAAGCATGACATAATAACTCTTTTAGTTGTAGAATTCTTTGACTTCTCATATGATATTCTCATGAATTCTCAAAGAATCTTTTTCACATCATGATCCGGGATAGTCTAACCCGACCAATCAAATTACCAAGTTATCAAATCTTGTAAACTTCTGGCTTACACTTCCATGTGTACTGATAGTACTAATATCACATAAAACATTAGCTCTTCTGGAGCTTTTAAATACTTTGGTACTAAATTTTGCCCTTCATAACCTTATGACTTAGTGTGTTATTTTTAGGCACATATCCATAGTGATAAAAATATCATCACATTATTTGTTATCACCCATACATAATTTAGTTACTTCAAGTAACCAAAATATAAGTTCTTCCGAAGCTTTTACTTACTTTTGTAGTATATGATATAATACGAATATTTATTTTTCGTAAATATTCATGCTTCATGTTTGAGCCTTGATGCCTCGTCACTGAACCCGATCCTTTAACAATAGGCGCTTGGCCTACACACAAGAACACAGAGGGGGGCGCCTAGGCCTGTTAGCCCTCCGACGATCAAGTCATTTCCCTTTCTAGAGAGAGAAGTGTGTAGCAAGTGAGTTTAGTGAGAGAGTCCAACCTGTGTAAATGCTACCAACTGCCCCTATTTATACTCACCCAACTCGAGGTTGATCTCCTCCACGTCATCGTCGCATTTAATTACTTGTACCTTCATTCCTGTCAGATGCCTCAACCACCTTGTCATGCTTCTGACGACTGGCAGGCGCCTGCAGGTGGGGGATAGTTTGACAGCCTGGTGACAGCATGGATTTCTCTGGAGCTCTCATTGTTTTGTCTCCATGCGCCTCTCCTCCTGCTTTGCATGGGCTTTAGAGGCCCATTTATGGTCTTCTCCTACTGGACAACCCATACCTGTCTCATTGGGCTTCGTTGGGGCCCTTCTTTGGGCCTTCTTTGTAATGCCCCCCAACAATCGCCCCCCAGTTAGGCACTCATGGCCCCTTATTTGAGTTCCTAACTAATCCTCTTTCCACGGTGCCACATCCTTGTCGTGACTTCTTTCCCGGGCGGGCGCTCAATCGCCCTTATTATGTCTAACCAAGAGGCGCCTCCACCTTTCGCCATCCTCCCTCGTTCGTCTCATGCCCAGGCGCTTATTTACGCTATTAAATCCCCTTGGATGCATGCCCCCCTCTCTGGAGGCGCCTTGAACCTTAGCCGTTAATCACCACTCGCCTTACGACTCGGCGCCTTTTTGCACGATCAAACATTTTCGGACATATGCTATGGGAGGCACCTCCACCCTTCCTTGTCTCTCCTAGTTTCTTTCGTGTTTCGGGCGCTTGCGTGCTTCTCTTGCGCAAATATTTCCTCCACCCTTCATTGCATCTCCTGGTTTCTTTTGTGTTCTGGGCGCCTGCATGCTCCTCTTTCGTTTGGGCGCCTGTGTGCTCCCCTCGTGCCCCCACACGGGCGTAGGTTTGAGACTGAGCCTAAACATTTTTATTTTAAATTCGATAATTGGTATTTCTTTTGAAATTCACAATTGGAATATTTTGAAATTCAAATTTCCGTTTGAAATTTAAAATGGGGGGAAACTTAAACGTCCGCTCGTGATGCTGACACATGGCGGTTGGAGCGGACATTGATGCACGCCCCTCCTCCCTTTAAATACCCTCCAGCCTCCTCAGCCCTCCTCATTCTTCACAATCCCCTCTCTCTCTCTAACTTCTCTCTAGTTTTTTCCACCACCGTCGTCGTTCTCACTTGCCCCAACAAGCACATGGCTTCTTCGCAAGATAAGACCTCTGGTGTAGGCGCCTCTGGTGCAGGCGTCACCCCCAATCGCCCCTCCAACTCTGGTAAGCGCTCCGCTCGAATCCTCTCCTTCTTTCAGGGCTTCTTTTTGATTTTGCTATACCTAGGCGTGGGCGAGACTCTTACCCCGACTCGCAATTGTACGCCTTGTTCAATTTTTGGTCTAGAGAGGGTGTTTGAATCTGCTGGACCATCAAACGCCTCCACTTTGAGCTTCATGCCTGCTAAAAGTTCGTATAAGATCACTACGTGGGAGAAGACATTTCCCCCGGATCATTTCCCGACCGAGACTACAGGGTTGCCGTTCGACGTGGCTAGGCCGGATCACCAGTCAACAGTGACCTTTGCATGAGTGCACAAACTAGTGACCAGCCTTCAACTTTCGCGCCCTCTTCGCCCATCTCCAGGGTTGGTGTGTGCGACCCCAAGTGGATCGGCATCTATCAGGAGTATTTCAGATTTGGGTTGTGCTTTCCCATAGGCCCCATCTTAGAGGGGATTTTGGCGATTAGCGGGTGCTCGTTGGGGTGCCTGTCTCCTTCAGTCATGGTGGTGGTGGTGTTGTTCAAGTTGAAGTGTAGAGTGCACAACGTGAGGCCCACCTTCAACCTCTTCAGATATTTCTTCAATGTGGTGGCGCTTGACAACTGCCTCTCCCTACAGAAGCGTTCGAAGCTTCCCTACCACTTCGTGGTTAGGTGCCCCAAGTTGGGGCGGAGTTGGTTCAACAGGTTCTTCTTCATGAAAGCCTACCAGGACTCTTTTTCGAAAGTGGGGGCGCCTTTCTGAGGCATTGGGCGTTGGGCAGCGTTGATGCCTTTAATACGAAGGTTTATCTTTCATCAGACGAAACCAAAGGCGCCCAACTCATTAGCACACATCCAATAAACCCACGCATCACTGCTAACCGTTCTCCTGTTATGGAAGAGTATTATAACGATGGTGTGTGGGCGCCTTTTAGTGATTGCTCTATCTTTCCCTTAATCATTTGTTAATCCTAGTGTTTGTGTGCAGGATCAGACTTCTCTTCCATCGGGAAGCTGATGAAGAGTCGGCCGGCTATGATGGCGGTTGGGGCACCTCTTGCTGCCGCTGCCGCTCACCCCCAGCCGCCTCCACCTCCTGCCCCAAAAAAAAAGGAAGGCATGAAAAAAAGTCCAACACAAGGCGGCCCCCTCGAAGGCGCCCACCTGTGCCAAGACTGCAAGCGTGGCGTCTTCTGCTCCTGAGCCAGACACGGGTGAGCCCGCCGCCGACCCTACCGCTCGCGAGGAGGAATGGAGGAGGAGGATCGTCCTCTGGTTCGCCGTGAGAAGAGAGCATGATCCCCCCTGTCCCATGGCGGGAAGAAGGCTCGTGAGAGCGATAGAGGTAAGGGAAAGGTTACTGCCTCAAGCCCGGACGAATATCAAGGCGCCCAAGTTCATTTGGACGAGGAGGGGCGCTTTGTGGGTCCTGATGGGCGCCCACCGATCCTATAGCCGCTTCGCACTGAGCTCGGATGCATTGCCCTTCCGTGCTCCCCGTTATCCGCCGGGGATAGAGGGTGCACCATGGGGTTGGCCATGTTTGCCGCCAAGATGTGGCAGGTGCCCTCGGAGGTGAACGGAGATCACCTATTCGCGGAGTTGGCCCAAGTGGGAGCCAAGGTTAGTTGTTCGATTGTTATCATACTTTGCCAAGTTCGGTTTTCGTACCTTTGACTTTTTGATTTTGTGTTCGCAAATACTCCTCTTCGCGGAAAGGCGCCCGACGATTGTTGGAGTCCAAGGAGGAGGAGCTGGCCGCCTCGACCTCGGCGTCCGCTCTCAATAACGATTCAGAGTGGCGACTATGCGCCGTGAGCAGCTGGTGAAAGAATGCGAAGACGCCTAGCTGAAAGCGGCCATGGAAGTGTCGCGGCTTCAAGCCGCCTTGGAGGAGGAGCGCCGCAAATGTGAGGCGGAGTTCGAGGAGGAGCGAAGGGACTTCTTGGAGAAGCTGGCAACGCTGGAGTCGGAGAAGGAGGCGCTGAAAAAGGAAGTGGGCGCCCAGGCCACTGAGATTGACCTTCTCAAGAGGAGAAGAGTAGGCTACGGGATGGCCAAAAGGACAATAAGAAAGCCTTGAAGGCGGCCCGAAAATAGATTGATGCTCTGCGAACTTCTCTAGATACGTTCGAGGATTCCGAGGCAGGCAAGGATCTGTTCGTGAACGCCTGCCTGACGAGCTTGAACATCCTGAGAGGAAGCTCGAGAGAGATTATCCAGACAGGTCTGAGATGTGTTAGACATGGCTGAGTTTGTGATTAAGGAGATGCTGGGTGCAGAGGAGCATGAGGAGGAGGAGGAGGAGAGGGCGCCCACACCTTCGCCAGCAGACGCGCCCCCCACGACCGACGCGCCTCCAACTCCGAGAGATCAGGCGCCCAGTGCCGAAGATGCCACTTTCGAGGCTGAATAGATCTTTGTATGCCTCCTGTGTAATTTACCATAAGTGCACATTTTGTGTTCCGAGAATGATGAACAATCTACGTTTAATTTACTTGCTCTTTTTATGCTTGTTGCCTTGAATTGGTGTTGCTTGGTTTTTCTTTGGGGCACTAATTAAGGGCGCTTTTTAGTCGAAGGGCGCATGATTGAGCGCTTTAGCAGGGATTCTCATACTTTCATAACTCGTTCGATCGAAGGGCGCAAAGTCGGGCGCTTTAACTAGTCTAACACAATCTTACGCATTTGTCTGAGTCATAATGCGCAAAGTTGGGCACTTTAATTGGCACGAAATTGTAAACACAATATGACAACATATTTGGGGCGCTTACAATGTTGGGCGCTTTGGACACGATACGGCTCTACTACGGGCGCTTTAGACACAATATGAGCGCTCTTTCCGCCCCACTTGATTACTACGAACAAAATATCTACTACTATTACTAAGCCATATCATCATTCCCCGTTGTCAAGTTGAGGCGCTCGCACACATCTGGACGCCCTCCTGGTAAAGTCGTAAGTTTTGTGCATTCCATGTCCTTTTCACCACCTTGCCATCAAGATGCTCCATCTTAAATGTCCCGGGACCCACCACCTCGCGAACTCTGTATGGACCCTTCCACTTTGGCGCCAACTTTCCCTCATGGGCATCAGGACGAAAGTCACGCTTGAGAACTTGGGCGCCGACGGTGATGCCATGTGGGGGCATCTTTTTGTCATAATTTCGAGCCACCTGTCGTTTCATCCTTTCCAAGCGCATCGACGCTGCCTCCCTTGATTCGTCAGCGAAGTCCAATTCGTCGATTCATGCCTCGTCGTTGCTGGCTGAGTCGTAATGAACAACTCGATAACTTCGGAAGGTTGACCTCGATTGGGATGACAGCCTTGCTACCGTAAGTTAAGGCAAAGGGTGTTTTGCCAGTGGTCGTCTTGTAAGTTGTACGATGTGCCCACAACCCAATTGGTTGTGCAACCCGTGGAGGATGCTCTTGTTGGCCGCTTCAGCCTGACCGTTCGTTTGAGGGTAAGCTACTGATGAGAACCTCAATATGACCCCCATTGTCGTCACAAAACTCCACAAAATTTTTGCAATCGAATTGCTTTCCGTGATCTGTGACAATTGACTCGGGCAAGCCGAATCGGGTGAAGATATTCTTCTTGGTGAACTTCCGCACTTGGGATTCTGTAATTGTGGCCAAATGCTCTGCCTTGATCCATTTGGAGAAATAGTCGACTTCGACTATTAAGTATTTCATTTGCCCTGGCGCCTTGGGGAAAGGACCCAAGAGGTCCATGCCCCATTGAGCGAAAGGCAGGCTCCCACGTTGCCTTGCATGGGCGCCTCCGGGATGTGAATATCATTGGCGTGCACCTGGGATTGGTGACAGGTATCGACGTGCGCTTTTGCATCCCTTCTCATCGTTGGCCAGTAAGATCCTTGTCATAACAATGTTTTCTCCAAACTCCGAGCTCTTGCGTGCATGCCGCATGTTTTACTATGCACCTCTTCGATTGCCACCTTGATTTCCTCCTCGTTCAAACACCGCAAATATGTTCCTGCGTGGGATCGCTTATACAATTGACCCTCGATGATGGAACAGCGGCCGCCTTTCGTAGGAGGCGCCAGGCTTCCTTAGGGTCATAGGCACCACACCCTGGGTCAGAAACAATTCAATGTGCGCCATCCATCCGCTGGTGGAGCCTATGCCACTGAGGGTGGCTATCAGATGCTCCTGGGGCGCCTCCGCTGTGACAATGACTTTTCTGTCCTCCGCGAAGTCTACTGCGGTTGCGAGTTTCGACAAGGCGTCTGCATGGGCATTCTCTTCTCGTGGGATATGAGCAAATAAGACCTCGCTGAACCAGGCACCCATCTCTTTCACCCTTCGCACGTAACCTTCGAGTGCCTCTTCCTTCACCTCGAAGACCCCATTGAGTTGATTGACAACAAGAGCCGAATCGGACTTGACGTGTATTTTCTGGGCGGCCAACTCCTTTGACATGCAGATGCCAGCGATAACTGCCTCGTATTCTACAACGTTTTTTATTCTGGAGCTCTTATTGTTTTGTCTCCATGCACCTCTCCTCCTGCTTGGCATGGGCTTCAGAGGCCCATTTATGGGCTTCTCCTACTAGACAACCCATCCCTGTCTCATTGGGCTTCGTTGGGGCCCTTCTTTGGGCCTTCTTTGTAATGCCCCCAACACTTCATAAGAACATATATATACAAACAACAAGAAGAATATATCTACATTAATATATAAGTAATAGTGTAACTAATTCTTTATTAATGACATGAAAGAAATTTTCGTGCAACAAAGTATAATAAAGAAAACTAGCAATAAAGTATGATAAAGAAAACTAGAATTAATTTTCAAATCAATCAATTTTGAAACTTAAATAGGATATATTTGGAATATTACCATCACCAACAAGGTGACTACATTTACCTTCAGGGTTGATAGAGAAATATACATGTGTTTCATTGCACATTTTAACATATGATAGGTATTATCATGACTTTCGCAACTGGAATAGTCGTGATTGACATTCTCATTTGTAATATTTTTTCTCATTTCACTTTCGGTGAAAAGATTTAAACAATACATAATAATTTGTCTCACTCCAAACACTTTTGGGGATGAAGTGCTTTATTCACTTCTGCGAATGATTTGTTTCACTCACTTTCTAGAATAGCTTTTCACGGAACAAATAAAATAGCTTCATTTACTTTCATGAATGAGATAACCTCTGTGGATCAAATAAATTAATTTTTTGAAAAAATATACTATATTTAGAGGATAATAGATAAGTTTGTAATGTGCAAAACTTCTTCCATGATAATGCTACTGCTGAAACACATATGAATTTTCATATTTTTCTCTCATTCTTGGTAGATAGGTTTTGGCGTATAACTTTTCTATCACAATGGTAACACCTATTTTCAATATATTTATTATCATGTGATTCATGTCCACTTTATTCCTTCATTTTTCCACTTCTGGGAAAAATATGTGTTATTAAAACTTTCATTTCCCTACACATACATACAATGTAGGAATTCATAAATCAACCCATAATTGACAAAAAAAAAATGATACTGCTATTACATGAGCAATTTTCTTTTATGATGGTGCGGGCACAAACTTTTTATTTTAGAAAAGTAACATATACAATAAGGTAATAGATAATATGAATAAAATTGAAATCTAAAATATTCATAGATAAAAGACACATTAGGTACAAATATTCATGGATGGTCTACTACGAGAAATAAGTAGCATCCATTGGAATGTTTTGGAATATCTATAATAAAATCTTGATCATATTGTAAATCTTACCCTAATGCATTAGATATGTCGAGAGTTTTTGACCAATGATAATTTTGGTAGATTTTCGTGCTGATAACGTGTTGTAAACTAAAAGAGAAGAGCAACAATAAAAGAGAGTGGAGAGGGAAAGACATAAGAGAAGAGAAGGGGAAGTTCTTCTTATTCATGTGTTCCTTCCATCAATACTTTACAGTTTACATAACATCTATTCCCACCATCAATACATATGAATTACTGCCATCAATACATATGAATGTGAGATATTGAGCAATGAAAGAGGAATTCACAATGGAGTGAAGGGTTACAAGTAACACCCAATAGTGCATGTAATGTATGCAACTAATGTGTGCATATATTATGGTCAATGGTCATCCATACATAATATTTACATAATAAAACCTCCATAGTTTGGAATTTTTTTTTTAAAATGTTCGGAATGCAAATAATGTAACACTTTCGGTGAATCTCACATCGACAAACACCGGAGAGATCCATGATTCATAAGTAAGAAAGTGATCTTAACTGAAAAGATACGTTTTGGGGTGAAATGGAAGAGTTCTTGTAATAACTCCGAAGTTAAACGTGCTCACTATGGAGCAATGCAAAGATGAGTGACCTTATGAGAAGTCACGTTGATATGCACCCCAAAGAAAAAACCGTGAGGGTCTAAATCCAAAGCGAACAATATCTTATCGAGGGAAAGATTCTAATGTTAAAAATAACAAAATTCTAGTTTTTTAATAAGTAAACTCCAGAATCATTTTAAGTGATATTAGTGAAAAGAAATATAAGCAAACTCGACACAACACCATCGTCAAACCCAGGATGGGACATGCCCTCCGGGTGGAGTACTGGTCCAATTTGGGGTGGCATGGAGACAAGGTGCAGGTGGCAGAATCGGCTTTGTCGGATTCTCGATAAATGGCCGTTTGTTATTTGCTTTTGGCAAGCATTATCTAGATATTGTTGACCCTTCCATTATGGAATTGTTGGACTTTCGAGATGCGATTAATTGGTGTCTAACTCATAGTTTTGGTGTGGTTAACTTTTGTGGGGACTGTCAAACGCTGATTCCGGCTGTTCGGGAGAGGGACATGGCACATAGAGTCGGTGGCACAATACTAGAAGAGATTCGAGTGGCGATTTCTTCTTCTACTTTTTTTTTTTTTTGCATATACTTTTACTTCCCGCAAGTACAACAGGGTTGCCCATTTAGTAACACAAAAGGCTCTTTTATTGACAGTTCGACTATTTGTCGACTGCCACGTTCGGTTTTGTGCTGTTTTCTTACAATTTTTTCCCTTATAGCCTCTAACAAAAATAAATAAAAAAATAAAATATTGTCTACTTTGGAATGCATCTTTAGCCCCAATTTAACTGGGCCAATTAAAGCGCGTAGTAAGGGATTCCCCGGGCAGGCCCAGGCAGCTCTTTGGTGGCGCATCGTACCGAATCCGAGCGAGATGAGGATTGGCCACTTTGGTCCCAATTGGAGTTGGAGCTTCATTGTCATGCCAGCCCACTTGAACAGAAGACAGCAAACTTTGTAGTTTGTATTCATTTGCGGGCGGACCCTTCATTGACTTGACTGCTCGGTCCAAAGAAGATCCCTCTGGCTCTGTCAATTATTCGCCCACGAACCCACTTGAGCTGCTGTTTTGCTGGGTTATGCACTTATGCTTCCTGCTCAGAACTTGCCATGTTGGGATCTGGAATCCCTTTCTCGCTTTTGGAATCTGAAAGGATCAATTTCAGGTTTGTGGGTTTCTTCTCCTGCCCAAGCTTTTCTCGCCTTTCCCTGCCTTCGCAATGACACTGAAACTGCAATGGCTTCAAGTGGTTGTGTAATTGTTTCTGTCTGTCCGCTTTTGGAATGTGTACGATGGAACCTTCAACTGGCTGTACGTTTGAATTAAGCATTCTAATGGGACTCAGTTAGTCTTTCTTTCACTTCTTAGTTGTGCTTGTTGTACGATGAAACCTTCAATTGGAAATCTGTTCCCCCACTCGGCGAGCTTCTTGTAAGGAGCAGTTGAATGAAACCCGCTACCCAGTTAGCCTTTTCTTTCACTTCTTGGTTGTTTAGTTGCTAGGAGCGGTTGAATGATTCTAAACTCTGGATGAGGAAGAGATTGAATATGACTCCCAAGTACCTATGAATCTGTTTTCCTTCTTTGCCATTGATAAGAAAGTGTTCTAATTTTCGGAATCATATTTCCTTAAATGTCTGCTAAATAGGATCATTTGTGTTCCAATTAAGAATGTGGGATATCTCTTGTGTTGTAATTATGCTTGTGTTCATGGTATGTGAACCTCGGAAAAGACTTCAAGTCCAGTTAGCTGGGGTGTGATTTCCGACTCCTGTTCTCCTGTTCTGGTGTGATATCTAAGTAAGGGCGAATGAGAGAATTCTCCGACTCTTCTATTTATATATATATATAAAGCCAAGCTATGCCGGGATTCCAGCGCCAGGTAGCGGTTTTAATTTAAGGAAGACTACCGAGCTCCACGATAGATAAGCGCCTATCATCTCTATGCGAATTCTGACCTTAGCTTTTCGTCTTTGATTAGTATTAGCGAAAGCCGCCCGAATGAATTAGTTGGTACTAGAAATGTTAGAAAAAGTGAACGAAAAGAGTAATAAGAGTGAAATATTTCTCCTCAATTGCATAGTTGAGCAACTTGAAGGTTGATATTTCAGGAAAGGTTAACCTCAAACAAGAACTAGTGCTATGTTTAGATGCTTGTTATTTCGTATTTTAATTTCTAATTCCGCTCTTGGCATGAATGGTTGATTTTTTTCCCATCAATAGTTTTCTTCAATCTGACTTCCAGCCTGATAGTTGATTTCCTTAGGTTATCTAGGACATGTTCAAGAAGATGTCAGAGATCACTGCAAGCAATAGCCAGTCGATCCATCTTCCTCTAATAGAACGCAAACATGAAGAGGTATAATCATCTTCATTCTTTTCCTTCTTTCGAGTATTGTGGCTTCCTCAGCATTTAATTCGATATGAGCTTTGTTATGTCTTTGGAAGATTCATCAGCATTTTACTTTGTTGCAATGTTGCTATAACCAATATTAAGTTTTAGAATTTAAGCGATTTATGGGTGTTTGGTTTTGAAAAAGATGAATACTGAAATGAAAATATGTTGTTGCTTTCCAAAATATCTCTGTAGCATTCCTTATCTTTGTGTACTGCAGTTTTAAATTCCTTTTATCCTTTTGTTTCAAAGTTTTACTGGAGATGGGAGTCTTCTATTGTTTCGAGTAACCAGGCTGCTTACGTGCTGGATACTGGAAGCTAGCGAGCAGGTTTTTTACCATTTCAAAAGACTGTTAGCACATAATTTGTCTCTAGTGCAATTACATGAAGTGTTTGGTACCAGCTGGCTACATCCTTGATTTCAACAACATTTTCCATTTCAATTTACATGCACAAATGAATGAATAATTCTCCTTTTGTCCTTTTCTGTGGACATGAAATGCTTTTTTTTTTCCCTTCGTTTTTCTGGACCTCTGATATGGATCTCTTGTCATTCTAAGAATATGTTATCTGAATGTATGAAGCAGTACAAGAAGGAGCTTGGAATGCACACTGCCGCTTCACATGGAGTTACAGTTGCTAGGACACACATGCATGATTGGCTCATATTGGCTCTTCTGGTGGTGATAGAAGTCATACTTAATGTCATCCATCCTTTCTATCGCTTTGTTGGAAAAGATATGATGGTGGATCTCAAGTACCCCTTGAAAAGCAATACAGTTCCTGTTTGGGCTGTGCCAGTAAGTTTCTGGGATTATAGTGTGTTGAACATGAAATTGTTCCACATTAGTGAACTCATGCTTTCTTAATACCAAATTTTATTCCAGATATATGCTATCATTATACCTATGGTGATTTTCATCATAGTTTATTTTAGAAGAAGGGACATCTATGATCTCCACCACTCAATGCTAGGTAATGTTATTTTCTTTACTATGTTCTGACAACTTCACCATGCTAACTGCTGGTAGGAATATAGCACTGAACGGCATGCTTTTGAGAGATGCAGGTCTCCTATTTTCCGTTCTAGTGACAGCTGTCATCACTGATTCAATTAAAAATGCTGTTGGCCGTCCTCGTCCTGATTTCTTCTGGCGTTGCTTTCCTGATGGAATGGATGTATGGCTTCTTAACGCCTGTTGTCATTTCAATAACTTGTACTGTCCCAAACAATTGTCTCATAAGAATTAAATCCACTTTTCAGTTAGGAACCTCATCATGTAGTATTTTCAGTTCTCTTTGGCTCTTGGACATGATATCTTGTCAACAACCTAGTTATTGTGCAGGTTTATGATCAGTTGGGGAATGTTGTTTGCCATGGGGATAAAAATGTCATAAAGGAAGGGCATAAGAGTTTTCCAAGTGGGCACACTGCTTGTAAGTTTTGATATACTTGCTCTGCTGTTCTGGTCCTGGAAAGAGCAGTGGACATAAGCAAATGAGCTTTAATTCTTGGTTCTACTTTCCAAATTGTTGAGTTGATCGGCCCGAGTATGTGAACATAATCATAATCTAGTTTGAAGATGGATAGCTTGATTCTGCATTTAATTTGACTCCTGTTGTGGTCATATTGACTTTGATTTAACTTTTATGATTTTCCATATCTAGGGTCTTTTGCTGGTCTAGGGTTTCTGTCGCTCTACTTATCGGGAAAACTAAAAGCATTTGACTGTAGAGGACACATTGCAAAGCTGTGCATCATTTTTCTTCCTCTACTGGTTGCATCTCTGGTCGGCATTTCTCGAGTGGATGACTATTGGCATCATTGGCAGGATGTTTTCGCTGGTGGTGTTCTAGGTATTTTCTTTCGTTCATTCTTTTTTGTTTCAGGCATGCTGGTAAGTTGCACCCCATGCTTTACTGACACTAGTAAAGATTTTGCTGTTCAGGGCTTACAGTATCAGCTTTTTGCTATCTTCAGTTTTTCCCCCCACCATACCATCCTCAAGGTTAATTCTTAGCAGATTCTGATTTTTGGATCTTCCTAGTTGAATGACTAGTTTCCTCATTTATTCTGTCTCCAAAATTAAATTTGTTTATTTTCGTGACTCCAAGACTCTCACAGCTCATTAATTTGCTCGTCATCATTCTCGAGCTATTATATTACAGGGTGGGGGCCTTACGCTTATTTTCGAGCGCTGGAAGAGGCACGAGAAGGAACATCTGGTGCCACAAATCTGGGCAATGCTGAAGGTACTGCAGAGAATGTGTTGGGAAACGAAGAAGCTGTTGAAGACAAAGGTGTTATGGGGCTCCAACTTGCGACTAATGATTCCAGCTCAAGAATAATAGAAGATGATGAAGAATGCGGTGGGAGGTGCTAGCTAGCTGCGCTGGTCTTTGTTGACGTTGATGCTACTGCGAGAGAGTTTCAGAACATAAGAATTGCAGAATTTCAGTCATGCTGAACTGTAAATATGTGATCTGTGGTGGTTGGGCTTGGGCAAGACACATTTGGATCGAGAGATCCATCCAAATTGTTTGAAGAAAACCTCCAAATGTAACAACATTTTTTGGTAGCCGTATGTATGTAATGCATTCTTTCAACTTCTTTCTGGCTACTTCTCGGCGATCCATCCATGGAAACTGGAGAATCATAGCACTGAGTAGTTGAATAAAGGGAAGGAAACCGCGAAGTTTCTCAGGTCCCCTCCATTTCCATTTATACCGTAGAATAATCCCGCCAAAGCCAATGGAAGCCCACATTAGCTTAGTTTGGTCCAGCGGTAGCTTTTGCAGAAGTAGCTTTTGCAGAAGTAGCTTTTGGCTGGAACTTTTAGATAAGTACTTTTTAAAAAAAAGCAGTTGAGTGTTTGACTGTAAAACTATTAGAAGGGTTTTTTAATATGAAAGATTGTGTAAAATGACTATAAAGGACTTATAATATAAAATATGAATAAAAATTCTAAACAATAAAAAGTAAACAAAATGGATCTTGTTAGATTTTTTTTATATTAAATAATATGATTTTATTTTTAAAATGATATAAATGAAGGAAAATTATATTTTATGAAATAAATTTAAAATATGGTAAGGATAATCTTGTATTTTCAAAACAGCTTTTCGCAAAAGCTCCAAATCGGAGCTTCTGCTTTTATGTTATACAAAAGCGCTTTTCGGCTTTTCAAAAATCGAGCTTTTACAGGTGTTTGGCCCTGCTTCAGCTTTTGAAGCCTAAAAGCACTTCTAAAAGCCGGGCCAAACATAGGGATTGTTGAGTTATGTAATTTAGGGGTGCAGCCCATGACGTTATACCATGTAACTAGTTAGCGTATGATAGAAACGCGTTTTCTGGAATCGAAATTTGGGTATTTAGGGATTAGACGATAGAATTGAGGATTTAAGGATTAGAGAAGATAATTGGAGAAGAACAAGAGAATGGACGGCGACCTAGGCTAGAGAGAGACAAGAGAATGAAATGATTTGAGAAAGTTGAGGTTTAGGAGACTTTTTCTTATTAATCTTGTTGATTGATTATAATGTAAATCCAAATTACATTTTTATAGAAAATACTGAAAACCCTAATAATTAACCTAATTTGACTAACATAATACTAACATTAACAAGACTTTTCTTAATACTCTTGTTGATTGATTATGATGCAGCAACTAGCTTGTTTATGGAGTTGGCTTTGGGACTTGAGATTCTTCCATTCAAAGTTACTGCTACTTTGAAGGCAACTCCAGGCCTTTACTCTATTTGTTCGACAGTAAATGAGGAGGTAGGCGCTTGGACAAAGAGCTCTATAACAATGGGAAACTAGCACTCATTTGTCACATCCGTACAAGCATGAAAAAGAGAAAAGAAAAGAAGGACAGAATAGATAACTGTAAGAAACACAGATCTAGGAGTGTACGTCCAGGATTCCGAAGATTGAAGATTTGATAGAGAATTGGGGATTGAGATAGGAATTAGGGATTTTGGGAAGAGGAGAGATGAGAATTGTGGAAAGGAAGAAATTGGGTCTCTAGAGAGGGAGAAGGTCGACGACAGTTAGAGGGAAAGAGAGAAGGAATTCGAGTTGGTAGGGAGAAAAAGAAAGACTTAGGTTTAGGAAATAATTGTTGTGTTATTGCTTAATGAGAAAAACCCTACTAATACAATATATAACCGATGAATTCCCAATAACTACCGCAAAATAACACCTCCTAACCAATTACCCCCTAAAATAACAATCAAATATCCAATTAATCATAAAACGACATATAAGTCAAAAACAGTAATTGAGTTAGAAACCATGTTTCTATCAATCCACCTTCATTGAGACCAACGTTACCCTCAAGGTTGGTCCTTTTTCTTCTTCGGCTCCTTGGCTCCCGCACCGCCATCTCCTCTTATGCTGCCAGTGGGCAACTGGGAGGACGTAGGCACCCATCCTTGCACTTCTGCTCCATCTATGCTAGTGTCAGCTTCACAAATCCCTTTGGTGGTAGGCGAGCTGGAACGCACCCTCCTGGTGCAACTCTCGTAGCTACCTGGCTTGCAGGTCCCAATGCACGAGTGGTCTATCCTCCCGAGGCCATTGTCATAGTCGGCCCTCTTCCTTATCCTCCTGCACTCTTTGTGAAGCGCCCCACACTCCCTTTTCAGTTGACCAGTTCTTCCTCCTTACGACCTGCAAGTCTAAAAGCAACTCGCATGGAGTTAGGCTAAAAAATCCGAACCAAGGTTGCAAGCTACGAATTTAGTCCCTCCATACATAGCCCCATGAGGGTCTCATCAACCATTCCTCGACACTAGTTCTCCAACCTCAAGAACTCCGTCCGGTTTCCACCACCATTCCTGTATATTTCAGTTTTGTTAACTGTTCCGATGCCTAACCCTAAGATTTACCGAACTGATGGTTAAGCTCTTCTTGGAACATCTTCCAAGTAATCACAGTCTTCACTGCTGCATAAGACCACTCCATCCACTCCCACCACTGCAGAGCATCTCCCTCTAGGTAGAAAGACGCAGTTGCACCATCCTTTCCTTCTTAGTTGGGTGGTTTCTAAACCTCCTTTCTGCCGCATACAACAGGTACGTTGTGTCCTCCCCACCATCCTGTTCGGCCTCCCATGTTGTTGTCTGCCCCAGACGAGTCTAGTTTGGATCAACACAGGTCAACTCGAATTGGACCAGGCTTGGTTTGGCAAGCTTCGGTCTGACTGGTCGATTCAGATCGGATCCATCTAGACCGACTTTGGTTCGAGAACCACCCTCGGTCCGCTCTAGGTGATCCAGGGTCAACCCAAGTCCCATCTTGGTCCACAAGGTTGGGCTCATCTTCCTCCATTACGCGGTTCGGACCCAGCTGGCTCGTTTCACCACCTCGAGGGCTCCCCATCGAAGCCATTTGCCTTCCACTTTCTTCGAGCCTCCATCATTTCTGGGAAAGTAGGAGTGGGTAGCAAACCCAACCCACTCCCCCGTTTGCTCAACCCTTGGCCCGCACGACTAGCATTTTTTAGGACCTCGCTACCTACATTAGCTCCCGTCAGCATCGTCGCCCCCGCGCCAGACCTGTTCAGCTGCAAGTCTACAACCGCTGCATGGATCAGCTCTGCCGCCTGATCCTGCTCCGCTACAGTCGCCGCCGCCAGGGCTTGATTCGCCATATCAGCCAGCTCAACGACATTACTGTCGTGGCCTAATTCTCTTCGAGAGCCACAGTCGGGTGGCCTTGGCTGATCATCGCGATCGCCTCCAGCATCGATCGCCCCAGCTTCTCCGCCGCCTACAACCTATTGCCAACCCCGCTCACTTGTTCACTTTACCTCGATAGCCCCATCATGGTCTGGTTTGCAACATCCTAAGCTTGGGAGGTCAAATCTTTCTGCTTTGCCAGCAGATCCATCAGAATTTGGTGTAGGTTTTCATGTTTGCTCACGTCCTTGGTCTGGCTCGCCTCCTTCTGCCTCTTCTGAGATTTGTCAGCCATCTTCAAGAATCCCATGCCAACCAGGCTCTAATACCAATTGTAAGAGACACATATCTAGATGTGTACATCTAGGGTTCCAGAGATTGAGGATTTGGTAGAGAACTAAGATTGAGATATGAATAAAGGATTTGGGGAAGAGCGGAGATGAAAATTTTGGAAAGAAGGAAGAAAGCGGGTATCTAGAGTGGGAGGAGACCGACGACAACTAGAGGGAAAGAGGGAAGAACTCGAGTTGGTAGGAAGAAGGATAAAGACTTATGTTTAGGAAATAATTCTTCTGTTAATGCTTAATGAGAAAAATGAAAAATCCCACTAATACATACAATATATAAAAGCCGATAAATTCCGTAACATACCCCAAAATAAAATCTCCTAAGCAATCACCCCTAAAATAACATCCGAATATCCAAATAATCATAAAACGACAAATAAGTCCAACACAGTAAATGAGTTAGAAACCATGTTTCTAACAATAACAACGGTCTATCATAGCTTCTGTAAGCCCAACAAAGGTCAGGAATCCACACAAACCCGATTATAAAACCAAATCATCAAACCAAGCTCACGAAAGTTCTTTCGTCGGAGCTTTTGCAATATAATTTTTGTCAACCAACTCAGTGCCATCAAAGGCAATATCAGTTTAGAAACTTGATACTGTTGCAAAAACGCATCACTACGAGCGTCACAGACTTTATGGAATTGAATTTCGAGCTTAGACGAGGGAGAACCAAGGTGGGGAAGTTGGTAGGTGAGGTAAGGAATTTCCGGCTTTCTCCAGATTTTGGCAAGCAGAAAATTAAAAATTACTACCTAATTTTGTAATATCGATATTTGACTCGCAGTTTCTTCGTTTGACGTCCAAATGACGACCCGGTTTCGTCTAGAAGATTAGAGAAATGAGGATGATTTTTGGAGACCAACCACTGGAATTTTAGAACTTAGGGGTCGTTTGGTATTGGTGATAGTTTGGTTGGGATAGTTACAATGCATGTAATGTCCACAATGCATCGTTTTTTTGAATTTTATGCGCAAACAATACATGCATTGTTTGCTTGATTTGACACAAACTATCACTCAAAATGAGTGATAGTTAAATCTCAATTTTCGTTGAGATTGTTTGATGGAGATTATTGTGTTTTCTTCTTCTTCTTCCAAATATGTGCCTACCTTTTTATGTGTGTTGCTTTTTTATATTAAAAATAAAGGGTAAAAGTGACATTTCACCCAAAAAGTTATATAATTTATTTAAATACTACAATAACTATCACAGAAACCAAACGATGTAAACTACAATACACCAATTTTCTTATATACATGTATATTATTATGCATGCATTGATGACAATACATCGATTTAACTATCACCAAAACCAAACGACCCCTTAATTCCCGAATCGAAATCCACATAATAAAGGGGACCTTAATTATTGCATCGATTGTTTATGATTGATTTGTATATTTGGATGGATGGATTAGCTTGGCGATGACTTGTTGGCATATTTGATGATTTGGTGATTGTTCTTGATTGTTACGGATTTTATGGTATAAATATCGATATTTGACAAGTTACCGTAAAAATAGTTAGTTGTGTTTATTGAGCTTAAAACTGATCGATGGAACTTTTACGTATAAAACGATTTTTGAGCAGATTTAGGAGAATGTTTGACTGGAAAATGGATTTCAGATCAAAAACTGCATAAAGGTGAATTTTAC